TATGTTAAATGAATGAGATTTCAAAATCATAGCTCATCAATAGTAAGTCTAACAAATCGGATGATACAAATCACATAAAAAAGAAAAATAATTTCATTATGTGTCACTGCAAAATAGATGGTTAAGAACCCGTATAAGTATTTACATGTTACTTATTTTTATTTTTCAGATTGAGCTAAAATCTTAGGTATCCATACTTCTTATCCCCATTGCCTGTATAAAATATCAAAGAATTATTAAAAAATAGAATGATTGAAATACCCCTTAAATTTTGAGAGGTATTTTGATCATTTAATTTCATATTTTTTTCTTTTATATAGATGCATCCGAATGAGGCACGTGCATTCCAAATTTCATCTTGATCTAATATTTAAAAAAGGATAAGGTCAACAGTTTGAAATCACCAAATAATCCACGTTGTAGTTCATTTAAAAGGTAATCAATATATGATTTCTCCATATTGATTGGACAATGAGCATTTCTAAGTACTTGAATTTTTATCTTTTTTATATAGATGGGAATGAGCTGAAATATGAGGCATCTATTCTTTTAGTCCTCTAAAAAATTGTAAAAAATAATAATAAAATGACTAAACTACCGCTAAAACTATGAGGGGAATTTTGGTCATGTTATTTTTTCAACTTATTTTTTTCTATATATTTTTTAGAGACGTGCCCCAATGAGGAGAGCATAAACCTTCCAACTTTCATTTCAATCAGAGTTCTAGAAAAAAGAAAAATAGAAAATTCAAGCAACAATATACAAAATGAACCTCTAGTCCAAAAAGGAAAAGGAGCAATCTCCTATACTTTGCCTCTCCATGGGTCCCGCGCCTCTCATTTTTCAGGATTGCAAGCTTCTAACTTGTGCTCCTATAGCATATGTAGTTGAAAAACTAAGAACTGCAATAGTTACCCGAACTTTTGGTGCTGGCACCAAAAGTTTTGGTTATCAAATACTACCTAAAAGATGAGTAAATGTCGTAGAATGGGCTGAAAACTTGATCTAGTGTCTTGGGGTATTGCTAGGTCTTACCCCAATTCACAACAAGAGCCGACTCCCCTTAGGTCATAAGCGAGTTGTCCCATAATTTGTTAGAAATTTTGCTCTGGAGGACCATTTCTTTAGCTTAAGTTGCATCAAATAAACCAGTCAAAGAAAGATACTAATACCTCTCCGAAGTGATTATGAGGCTCCCCCACCCCAGTGTGTATTTCGTACCTTTAGTAATATTTTGGCTCCAATGGATGATCGGGCCTCAAAAGGGGACGCTTGGCTCGCTATCCAAGTAACCGAATGGGTCTGGGCCGTCTGGTGCCTAGGAGAGAAATCTCTTAGTCACAAAAACCCCTGACCATGGGGTTTGAGTTGAGGCACAGATGGTTTAAGGGAAATCCCTTAGTCAAGGTCAACATACGCCTGTGGTCAGAGCTAGGATAAGGGTTCTCACGCAAAAGAGTGTGCCTTCAAGAGAAAATGCCAAATGCTCGACATGTCATCATCCGTGATATGTGAATATGACATATGTGTGTTCAGGGAAGCCACCATTCTAGGAGAGTTCTTTTTGAAGGACATAGACATGTGCATACAGAGGAATTCCCTTCTTCCACAATATACTTGTCTTTAGGTATACCTATAATCGATTCTAAAATTTCATTGTTTATTTTTCGGCTTTAATGGGCCAATCATGAGCCTTTTTTTAGAGATTGTGGTCATAGATCCCGTTGGATTGATTTGAGAAAGAAGTAGTGGTTTTTGAGGTGAGCCAATTGAAGTGCCTAGTACAACGATTCTAAAGCCTAGACGTCTAGTTCCATTCGACAGATTCCAAAGCCTAGACGCCTCGTTCCGTTTAACAAATTTTACAGGAGTCGAAAAGTACTTGGTTTCATTAAATATTGTGAAAAATGATTGGAATACGTTTTTAGATGTTCTTGGAAATTTCTCTAAATTTTAATAATTTTTAGATATTCTTGAGAATTCTTTTAAAAATTAAATTGCCCATAGATAAAGGGCCATTATTGGAAGTATGTATTGTGTCACATGTTATGGGGTTTAAGAAGCAGCTCTTACGGTCAAACGTTCGTTTGAACTTTGGCTGAAGGTTCATCTATACATAAAGTTACTTTCTTACATGCTACATTTTGATTGGTCATATTTGTGAGGTGGCTAGAGGAATAAAGAAAATGTCATAAGAAATTCTCTCTCCTCTCATGAGAAAAAGAGAGAAGACCTCTTTATGTGGGACGACCTTTTTCATTCTACGATAATGTGAAAAAGCCTGATATTTTGTGGGATTTTTGGATAATTAACCTACTAAAGTATGTAGTTTCAAATCAAATAATATTAGGGTTGAAACCTACACGATAGGTATTAAATCCCACTCCTTGATTAAAGATAGCTCATCTTCAGATGAACGGTTTAGATGAAGCCTCCCTCACCCTATAGATTTCTTTGATCTAAGGCCCATATTGCTCTATCTTAAATGAAGCTTCAAAGTTCTCATAAAACCCTAGCTCACATCTATAAATAGGGAATAAGGAAAGCAACAAGCCAGGCCAGTCCGAGCCCTAGTCCCTATAGGGCTGGGCAAAAATCAAATGAAAAAAAATTAAAAAAAAACAACAAAACAAAGAAGGCTGGGCCGTGTGGGCCGGGTGGGCACTAGTTCTAGCCTAACCCTCAAGGCCACATTTTATGACCGAGCCCCACTGCCACCGAGCACATTGCCAACCCCTATTAGAAGGACTCATTTCAAGAGTCATGAGATAATGTTGTGTTGCCAAAATAATTCTAGAGAGCAGACATAGAGTGACGCCCCACCCAGCTCTTCCGTGTGTTGAAAACTCGCTTAGTTACGAAGATGATGGGATAGCAATGCAACCATGTCCTTCTTGCTCTTGCATATACATTGGGGTGTTGCCCTGAGGACTTACCCTCCACCTATCTTGGTCTACCTCTCTACGTCAGGACACCCAAAGATAACCAGTGGAGTCGCATTGTCAACAAATTTGACCGCAGATGCGCAGGTTGGAAAGGTAGATATTTATCCCCTGCTGGTCCCCTCACCTTTATCAATCCTCACCAAATTCCCATAATCCAAATGCCAGTTGCAAACCGTCTCGAGCAACTCATGAGAAACTTCTTCTGAAAAGGGCAAGGGAGCAACAAATACCACTTGATTTCGTGGGCCAGGGTTTGCTCACCCAAGTCCTTGGATGGCTTGGGCATTTGCAATCTGAGGCTCAAACTTCTTCTGAAAAGGGCAAGGGAGCAACAAATACCACTTGATTTCGTGTGCTTGGGTTTGCTCACGTAAGTCCCTGGATGGCTTGGGCATTTGCAATCTGAGGCTCAATAACGTGGCTCTTTTTGATAAATGGTGGTGGCGTTTCACTACCCAAAACAATCATCTCTGGCAATCAATTGTACACTACAAGTATTGGTGCGACTTTGGCAACTGGCACCCCATTAAGAGACCCGGCCCACATATTTCGGGGGGGTCTGAAGATCCTTACTCTGCTGCCTCCCATCTTTCACCAACAACTTTTGTTTCTAACCCCATGGTTGTCTCTACACCCATGAAGGCCATCGGGTCCTCTTTTGGTCCCACCTGTGGTCAGGATAAGGCCCTTTCAACAAGATGTTTCCGTGTTAT